AGACCATGACCCCCTCGGGCGCGGCCCTGCGCACGCTGCCCCCCAGGACGGCCTAGGGGCGCGTGCTCGTGGGATTTCTTCCTTCCTCGGCCCCTCCCGTCAGACACTTATGAAGTTTCTGGCTCTGAAGTCGCTGCACTGCAATGAAGAAAAGGCGAAAGGCTGCTGCCAGTCTTGACGAGAAGATCCACCTGGGCCACCACCCTAAAGATTCCTCGGGGGGACATGTCGCAGCGGCGTGCGACCCGCTGACCTATGCCCGCCGCGCCGACCGGCCGACCCCCGACGCCCTTCGCCGTTACCAGGACCTGGCCCCGTCCCCCGACCAGCGGACGCTCCTCAGTTCTTGGCAATACAATAAGAACCTGCTCAAGTATTTAAATGACGACAGGCAGAAGCAGCCGTCTTTCTGCGACCTGCTCATCGTGGTGGAAGGGAAAGAGTTCAGCGCCCATAAAGTCGTGGTGGCCGTGGGCAGCAGTTACTTCCACGCCTGTCTGAGCAAAAACCCCAGCACGGATGTCGTCACCCTGGACCACGTCACGCACTCCGTTTTCCAGCATCTGCTCGAATTTCTGTACACGTCGGAATTCTTTGTGTACAAATACGAAATACCCCTCGTGTTAGAGGCTGCAAAATTCCTGGACATCATCGACGCCGTGAAGTTGCTCAACAACGAGAGCGTCGCCCCGTTTCAGTCCGAGCTAACAGACAAGCCGTCCCCAGAAGAAACACTAGGCGACGTCACTGGAAGGCTGTCGAATAATCATCAGTGTAAATTCTGTAGCAGACATTTTTGTTATAAGAAGTCCTTAGAGAACCATCTGGCCAAAACCCACAGGTCCCTTTTATTGGGGAAAAAACATGGGTTAAAGATGCTGGAGAGGAGCTTTTCCACAAGGAGGTCTAAAAGGAACCGCAAGTGCCCTGTGAAGTTTGACGACAGCAGCGATGAGGAGCCAGAGAGTGGCGATGGGTCGGACCCTCTGAACGAGGACAATTCCGATAAGGAGAAGTCTGATAGAAATGATTCCGAGGATGCTGGAAGTGAGTACAACGCCGAAGAGGACGAGCTAGAGGAGATGTCAGATGAGTCGTCCGACACCGAGGAGCAGAGTGACAAAGAGCAGCAGGACGTGGAGGAGGAACCCGAGGCTGGCGAGTCCGTGGGAAGCATTCACCGCGGGCTGACTCCCGTGGTCATTCAGAACAGCAACAAGAAAATCCTGCAGTGTCCTAAGTGTGATAAAACCTTTGACCGAATAGGTAAGAGGAGAGGGCTTGCCTTCAGTACTTCAGGGGTTCTTTCGAAGGTGGTGATTAACAACGAAACTCGGAAAGTAAATTTTGAAAAGAATACTTACCCAAGGTGGATATTTGATTTTCAATACATAGTTTATCCTGTTAGTTTAACTCTGCTGTGATGTCAGGAATTAGTTTTAAATACTGATATTAGCCTTTATTTTCTCTTTCTTGTGTCCTGACAGTAGGTGGCAGATCGTTCGTTAGTTCATGTATCAGGTCTGAGAAACTCCAGAGTCAGGATGAATGAGGGGATCTGATTTGTATGCTACTTTAATTTCATAGATGGGTGCTATTTTTGAGTCATTATAGAAAATTGAATTAGATTATATTAGATTTAATTTAATAATTTGTATACTGTTTCCCCTCGAACTTGGTAATATGTAAGTTTGAAATAGTCACTTTTCAGTGTCTAGTACTGTTTAGAATTGGGATGGTTCAGATTAGATTAACGTATAGTTGAGAATAAAACTGTATTGAATATAATTTAATTTTGTTGGTAGAGCCTTGGGGGGTGTAGAGAAAAGAACAACATTTTTGGATAGAGCTTCCAGAGAACGTTTCATTTTTCCAATAGATTCTGCTTCTTAGACTTTGTGTTCTTAGCACATGCTTCCTGTATTCTGCCTTAATTTCACCTAATTTGACTTGAGATGAGTGAGGAGGGGGTCAATTCACAAATGATCATATAGGCCCAGCATGTAGATCTCAAACTGCTATTGAACTCTAGGCCTGCGAGATGCTTTATGAGAGGGGTTCCATGTTCAAGTTAGATTGGGACAGCCATATACCATAATTCCCAATCTGTATTACTTCTGTCAGATTCTCAGTAAAGTAACCTGTTCATTTTATTTGACCTGGCATTTCCTGAAATAATTTTATCCCAAGACACGTTTGGGTCTTACTCTTTTAATGTGCCAAGAAACTAGAGTTCTTTGCACACAATTTGGGAAAATAACTGTTCAAGATGAAGGTCCTGATATACGAAGAGAAAGGCCTTTTGCACCTTTTTAAAGGGCAAGCACAGGTAATTGTGGGAATAAATAGGTCACGTTGCAGGCTTCTTTCCAGCCTACCTTTCTGAATGTATTTTATATCACCCTCTCTTTTACCCACCCCCCTTTTGCTTAGCCTCACTGAGGCTGTGTACTTCCCCCGCAGTATTTAGAGAGATTGCAATTGAGATTATAACATACCGGTTAAAGAAGCATGAGCTGTGGGGATGTCCCACTGCATTTTTTAATCCAGATCTTGGGCAAGTTACTTAACTTGTCTTGGCCTTTGTAGGTAGAGTGGGTGGTTATGAGGATTGAATGGGATAGTCCTTGTGAATCACTTTAAAATGTTTGAGGTGTAGAAGGTATTCAAGGAATGCTAGCTGCTCTAATTATTCATTAATCTAGTATAGTTGAGTGTCTCTGACATGCCAGTTAGGGTGAATACACTTTGATATTTTCTACTCTATTCTGTTTCTCCCCTTCACCCCCAATGCTAGTCACAGCCCAAGGAATTGATTCTGAACACTAATGACCTTTAGTTTATAAAACCTTCTTGTTATTTGTGATGTCAGTGAAAAGTCATTCCAGGTTTTACCTTGGAACACTCAATAACACCTGTCTCCCAATAAAGTCCCGGATTAAACTTCATCCTTTGGTGACCCAAGTTTTCCAGGAAAGGTGTATTTTGAGCCGTAAGCTCAAAACAATAAGTCTTTGAGTTTTATCAAGGTAACAGATTTAGGTAAACTTTTTTTAGGTGTGGGTGTGAGTTGGTGTATTAGGTAGGCTATTAATCATGAGGTGTTTTTTTCCACTGTCAAATTTCAGTCACTCTGGTAAATGTGCTGAATTTAATTTTGATTTCTCTCTTTTTATAGGGAAATATGAGAGCCACACACGTGTTCACACAGGTGAGAAGCCCTTTGAGTGTGATATTTGTCACCAGCGCTATTCGACAAAGTCTAACCTAACTGTTCACAGAAAGAAGCACAGTAATGAAACAGACTTTCATAAGAAGGAGCACAAGTGCCCTTATTGTAATAAACTCCACGCAAGCAAGAAGACTTTAGCCAAGCATGTTAAGAGGCAAGTATGACCTTGCTTCCGTCATACGCTGGATTGCGTCTTCTAATTTAAATATGTAGAACCCTGGAAATGTGTGGAGTGCTTGTCTCCAGTGTTTTCATTGCTTAATTTGCAGACTATAAATTTATTAAAAGCAGCAAATGTTTTGGTGTTGAAATGAGCTCCTTAGTCTGTACTGTAGAAATTTAAGATTCAGCATTTGGTTATCCTGTTTCCTGTCTTTGGTTTTGGCAAGTTTGTTTTCAAAATAACATGGTTTTAGACTCTAGAAAACTTATTCCTCATGCTCAACTTTGTCTTTAGTTGATAAAAATAAAAATTTGTGAAAGACTATTTAGCATGGTTTGCATATGTAACTAAAAAATTAAGTTCACTTATTGAAATGATACTAATACATTTATTCTAAAAGTACTCACGTGTGTCTGTAAGAAAGGAATCTGTCTGAGTCTTGTAATCAGTGTCCACGGATTGTATGCAATATTGACGTGACGAATATAATCCTTTTCTGATAATCTTTTTATGTTTCTCTTCCAGATTTCATCCTGAAAATGCACAAGAATTTATTTCCATTAAGAAGACTAAGAGTGAAAGTTGGAAATGTGATGTAATAGCTTTTAATTTGTAATAGGGAACAAACTGAGCTACTTTTAGATTTCCTTCATGCAGTGACACCCCATAGTTGATGAATTGAGGCTGGTGTGAGTTAGCTTTCAGGTGATGGACCTAACAAATAGGAATCCTGGCTTTATTTTAACGGAATCACCGTGCCATGTACTCGGAGTCATGTATGTAAACTGTGACACCACTGTTGCACGAGAATATCAAATATTAGAACGTCCCCTCCATTTCTGAGTATGTGTTGCTACCTAACAAACCACCTCAAGACCCAGAGGCCTTAAACAGTCCTTTTATTGCCTCTCACCGTTTTCTGCCTCAGTAGTCTGAATTTGGGGGCAGAATTTGCCAGGTGATTCTTCTGTTCCACTTGGTTTCAGCTGCAGTCACTCAGTTGCTTTCAGCAGGTGGGTGGTCCTATCTGGTCTGGCCTGGGGCACTTCCACAGCAGCTCACTCACTGGGCTGGCAGCTAGTTGTTGGCCAGCAAATAGGAGCTGAGCAAGGACAGTTGGCTGGAGCCTTTGAGTCGTTTCTACCCTGGTCTCTTGATGGGGCTACTTCAGCTTCCTTCTGGCCTGGTAGCAAGGACCCAGGAAGCCTCAGGCAAAGCTATAGGGCAGCCCTTTCAACAGAGTCTTCTTAACTACTCGAATTACGGGTTTTTTCCTTGTCATGAGCTTTGTATCTTCTTGATTCAGGTTCCCTTACATTTTGTGTGCGTGTTCATTTAGATTTGCAAGAAGTCTTTCACGCGAAGGCCTCACCTGGAGGAGCACATGATCCTGCACTCTCAGGACAAGCCCTTCAAGTGCACCTATTGCGAGGAGCATTTCAGGTCACGGTTTGCCCGGCTAAAGCACCAGGAGAAGTTCCACCTGGGTAAGCAGATGGCTTTTCTGAGAGCATTGCAGCCGTTGTCAGTGGTCACAGCCTGCTGGGGGAGCCTGCCGCTGAGGGAGCCTCCTGCAGTTGCCCCACTAAGGACAGGAAGTCATGTAAATAGGGAGGGATACTGCATTTGCTGCAGTTCCTGGAGATGAGGAAATAGGTCTCTTTATTTACTGTTTTGGTGGCAGATGTCTGTGGTTCTAAACTGCATTTATTCCCCCTTGATAATTGGACAGCTTTGTGAGAGGTCAGGATACAGCAGTTTTGTGCCAGGAAAAACATTTTTCAGGGAATGCAGTATCGTATTGGATGAATTCTCTCCCTGATGCTTATGGGAACAGTGGAGATTTGTGGTATTGATGGTAGTGCAGTGAGGTACACTTATGACAGTTAATCCCAGTAATGAGTTGTCATGCCCAGTTGTTGGAGGCTTGTTCATGGGTACAAATATGTACTGTTCATATGCTTATGAAATTTGTAGCTAACATAAAGCTGGCAAGCATAATAAATACAGTAGAAAATAAAAATGTAAAAAGAAAAGTCTGCTGTAAAAAGGTTAAAATAAATTAAATTAATTAAGAATAAATACAGAGTCGTAGGCATGGGGACGATCTGACTTCTAGTCATTGGAGGAACTGTAAAATGGTCTCAAATCCAAACTCATTCTACAGATGGGCTTAAGAACAGAGGCATTTAAGGCACACTCTGAACCAATAATGTTGTTTGCCGTGACAAAAGCCAATGTAGTTTTGAACTATATTAATAAAAATGTATTGTTCAAAATTAGGAGGTAGTCGTCTCACTGATTTTAAATTGATCTGGAATATGGCATTCATTCTGGATACTGCATTCAAGATGGAAATTGACAAATATATATCCTAGAGGTGGGAACTACAATGACAGGGTCTTAACATTATTTCTTGGGAAAAGCTTTTGAAGGACTTGAAATGTTTTGTCTGGGAAATAGGGAGATATTTTGTCTGAATAAAACAGCTACCTTCAGATACTTTCCGGACTAGTGTGTAGGAATACTTCGTTTTTGCGATTCTAGTATTTAATACTAGTGTCTGCGGGAGGCTGATTTTTCTCTTTTGCTTAGACATCTCTGAATTTAGGAAGTTTTTCTGTCATAGTTTTCATCTCAGCATTTCTAAGAAGCAATCATATGGAAACAGGTAGCAGGTCCCTAGGTCACCCATAGGCTCTGTTATTTCACACATACCAATTAAGTGTAACTTAGTATCCACTCCTCAAACTTTAAGTGCACACTGTTATTTCTTTTTTAGGTCCCTTTCCATGTGATATATGTGGTCGCCAGTTTAATGACACTGGGAACTTGAAGCGCCATATAGAGTGTACCCATGGAGGAAAGAGAAAGTGGACCTGCTTCATCTGTGGGAAATCAGTGCGAGAGAGGTGAGCAGTTATCCACACACCCAGAAAATCCCAGTATTGCTGTGTAGAAATTATTAAGAAATGCAATGTATAAGGATTAGAGTAACGCAAGACACAACATGCTTGAATTATGCTTTAATTTGAAATTTAAAGGTAAAGGAAGAAATTGTATAAAGTGTTACAGAAGATGGTATAAAGTCAGGATTTATGTGTTTAGGTGGTGAATGTAATGTAGATACCATTTGGTCTCTTTCTGAACCCCCACTAGGAATACATTAAAGTTTATTCATTTATCTATTTATCTTAAAGACAGTAAGCTGCAAAGACAGAGAGAGAAAGGTGACAGGAACAACACAGGTTTATAGCTAGAAAGCCAGTGGATCCATGGTAATGACTCAGCAGATGCGAGGAAGACGAATCCCGAGGAGGCAGCGGAGAAATACCGGTTTACACCAAGACCTCACAGCAGGCACAGGAACTAACTAGGGCATCGGGTACTCCGGAACCGGGGTGAAGGTGAGGCAGAAAAAGGAGCCGTGGAGTAAAACGGCTTGAGAAGTTAGGCCATTGGACTCTCTTCCGTCCCCCACAGGGGTCATTGCTGCTGGGCACCTTCCCTCTCCCAGCTGGGGAGGTGTCGGATCGATGCCTTCCCAGTACTGAAAAGCAGTGAGCCCCCAGGCCTGACACCCGTTCAGAACACTGGGGACGCAACAGAAGCTCCCGCAAAAGCAAAGAGTGAACAAGCCAAAACCACTACAACCTTTTCGTGTTACTACTTTTAACTAAGTAGGGGTCTAGGAAGAGTTTTGTGGATGTTTCCCACAAAACTCTTGCACCTGCAGGCTCACCTGAGAGGTGCTGGTGGGCCTTGTAGAGGAGCGCCACCTACTGGAGAGAGCCGCTTCATTTCCGAGGCAGCCTTCACCTCAGTACATCATGGGATTGAAGTAAGAACAGAGGTGGTGACAGTCAGAAGCCTGCGAGGATCAGACACATGGCCTTTCCTTTCTTTTCCCCCACATAACTTTCCCAGCCCTTTACCTAGGTGGGAATCTCTGAATGTTAGGACTACTGGACGGGCTGCTGATGGGTCTGGACTAGCAGTGGTCACACAGAAGCCAGTGCAGGGTCACCAGGAACTATAACTGGTCTTTATACGGTTTCCCTTTTCTACACTGGCATCTGGAAGTCCAGGTACCTGTATGTTTTCTTTGCCTTAGGACATTCTTTTAATGAGTATTGAACACCTGTTTAAACAGATGAGTACTGATAAACTGGATTCCCTATGTATCATTGAACTCACTCTTCCAAAATCTCCTAATTCAGTAGTAAAAGTTGAGTATTTTCTATTTGTACTTCTTAAATGTTATTTCAGCCAGATATTTAAATCACTAAGCAAGCCAGTGGCATAATGGGGGAGAGAGCGAGCGTGTTTGTGTAGGTGAGAGTATCTGTCAGCTTGAACATGTTCCTAGTAAGCTTTCTGGAAATCTGTTACGTATGTACATTGGCATGAAAAGATCTTTAAATACGTATTTTTTAACATAGAACTACTTTGAAAGAACATTTGAGGATCCACAGTGGAGAAAAGCCTCATCTCTGTAGCATCTGTGGGCAGAGTTTTCGTCATGGGAGCTCATACAGGTAAGTCAGGCTATTTTTCCCCTTTATATTAGTAAGTGAGAATTACCTCTTCCTTTTAATTCTGTTTTCTTATCAGTGGTTTAGTTGTTAAATTAAAACATTTCTTAGCACGTATGACAAGCAAAGTTATGCAAAAAACTTTGTAGACGTCCCCCTACAGCTTTTGATATTGTTTTCATCCTGTGGTAGAAAGTATTTTTAAATATTTCCTCATCACAAATTTGCTGGATGCTTTACTGTCTGAATTGTCATCATTTAAAGATTCATTACTTTTCTTTGAATCAAAACTTATTCTAACTCTAATGTTGTAAAATTAGTGTATTTTTTCGCTCTCACTTGTCAAAGAATAGTTTGGTATGAAAATATGGCAGAAAACTCCAGGATTCTCAGTTTTTGAAGGTCTTCATTATCTGAAACTTAGATAATTATTTTTATAACTGGCTTCTTGGCCATATTTGCAGTCCCTGAAAGGTTATTTTTTTCCTGAACAAATAATAGGCGACTGTGTACTGTGAGATATTTGTACAATGTTACGTTTTATTAACACTCTGAAGAATGTTAATCTTAAGGCTTTGCTGTTTACCCTTTCATATGTTATTTCCCTCTCTAAGTTTAAACAGAATGCTGCTCCTTTACACGTAGTTCAGTCAGTTCACTGAGTTATAGCAGAACCAGTGTGTTTGGGCAACTTGAATGAGAAAGCCATTCATTTCCCTGGGACATAGATGGAGGGTTACGAGGATAAGAATCATTCCAGTTAAATAGTTTTAATAATTTAAACCTTTTATAATCTGTCCTTGGTGAACTACAAAATGAGACATGTTTTGTTTGGTTAAATATGCGGAAAAGTAGTGAAATGTAATTGTCAGAAAGCTCATTACTTACAAATACACTAAATTCTCTGTGTGTAAGTGCTGTCGGTTGCCCAGAGGGCTCCTTCAGTTACTGCTGGTCACTTGCCACCGTTGGTGTTGTCCCTCCTGCCCTTACCCTCTTGTCTAATGCCTTTTGTGGTCACTCCTGCTTTTTCTGTTCTGAGACTTCACCGGCCAGATAGATGTGAATCTAGACGTTTGGCAGGTCCAGTGAAGCAGGTCAGGAGGGAGCGTCCTCCAGGGTAGTGTAGCCTGTGCAGAGGCCGCGTGCGTGATTTCTGAAGCGGTGGCAGAGCCGGAAGCCTGGAGTCGGGCAGTAGGAGTGGCAAGGGCTCGGGAGTTGTAGAGAGGGAGCCAGTAACGATGAGGCTGCGGAGCAGACAGCCCGTTTCCACTGTGTGGAGTTAACCAGGTTTCTCCCTCTGTTTCACCGTGTTCAGTGGTCTTCAACTCTGTTTCTTTATAGGCTCCACTTACGAGTGCATCATGACGACAAAAGATACGAATGCGATGAATGTGGGAAAACATTTATTCGTCACGACCACCTTACAAAGCACAAAAAAATACATTCAGGTAGGGTGTGCTTGGTAAGGATGTTTCCAAAACCCTTTTTTAAAAGGATATACTATATTGTGTTTCTGTTGCCTACTATTCTAATAATTTGGTATGTGTTGGCCACTCCTTTGTGATGCTGGTCCTAACTACCTTTTTTAAAAAGCGTCATAATTTTATGACCTGTTTTTTCTTCACTGTAATTTTAATCGTTTGGTTGCTTTTTATGACTACAAACTATATTTTAAAATTGTTTTAATCAGATGCTCCACATTTGCAGTGTGCATATTATGCAGGTGTATGCAGCAGTTGCTGTTGACAGCTCTCTAAGGGAGACGCCAAGATAATATCATTTTGATTGTAGTTGAAAGAAGTCAGCAAAACTTAGACTGAAGAGAGATGATTGTAACTGAGTAATACAATTCACGTCACAGTGAATTTTTGAATCCCCATCTTTGGAAAGAGTACCTTTTCCTGCCGATCAGTTTCAGATCTTTATACTGTGTCTATAATTTTCATATCCTGGGGATTTCTTTCATATTTTCCTCTCAGATTGATGTTCAGGAAGTGTTAAATGAGCCATCTCTGTGAGAACAGTGTAAGAAAGAGCCACCTCTGTGAGCACAGTAGGACAGGTGATTAATATTATTACTGGAAACACAACTAAGTATCAGGAATACAGCAGGTAGTTGTCATGTTCTGAAATGATCCCAGCAAGGCCCGTTGAGTAGTTGTTACCATTTTAAAGAGATGTTAAAGATCTTAGGACGATCCCACTGGAATCCTACATTTTCATTTTTAGGTGGAGAATTCTGAATTTCTAACTCTAGAGCCACGTGGTTTAGTTGCATGCTGGTATTAGGTTGAGAAAGTGATTATTAAGGCCACGCCTTTGTCCCTGAATGTGAGAAGAGAGATGAGATATCAGACTTACCTAGAATTTCCCTTTGTATTTGTATTTTGGCTCATGGTAAATGTAAGAAATTCCCACAGATGAAAAGTCTTTGAAAGTAAAGTACGAAGATCTAAAATGTTCAGGTCCTTTTTCTAAACAGTCAGAGGGCCTCGTCTGAATCAGTGTATGTTCATTTAAGATGTCTGATATCCAGACTTACATGTTCTCCCTGCAAAACCCTGAGTTTTGAAGTAATTTCATTTGTCTTGCTCTGTTACTGTGAAAGGTAAGGTTTGACGTCTGCTGAGGTGGGGAACAGGATTCACGGACTCCTCCAGACAGCCCGGGATAGGGGTTCCCTTCCTGGCATATTTCTCCCCGAAACCGTCCTGTTAGATCATTTTTTTGGGGGAAAACCTGAAATGCATATTATAACAACAGTGTTTGGGTGACTCTCCAAGGGGAGAAGGCGCATCAGTGTGAAGAGTGCGGGAAGTGCTTTGGCCGCAGGGATCACCTCACCGTGCATTACAGGAGCGTGCACCTTGGGGAGAAAGTGTGGCAGAAGTAAGTGAAAAAGCGAGCTGCTCGTCGCGACTGCGTAGGATGAGTCTGGGTTGGAGGGACGTTCAGCAGGTCTCGTACTTTGTTTTATTTAGCTGGGGACAGGCTGGTTAACCAGCTCTCGCTCTCTCAGACCTAAAGGAATTGAGCAGAGGGAATCCTCACCCTTGTTTTCAGTTGTTCAAAGGCGGGGAGGTGGTAGACATCGAACTTAATGAGTAATATAAAATCTTTGCATTCTTTGGGGAATCGTTTGGTCGCTGTGGCTCTTTGCGTATATAAATATACTGCCTGTGTATTGTGCCCTGTGTGTTATACTTAATGAGTCAGCAGTTACTGGGAAGTGTTTGTAGTCACAATATGAGGGCAGTAGTGGCCAGGCAGAATCCGAAACAAGGTGCATGAAGTTTTCACCCCTGCTCTGTCCACTCTTGGTCTGTCTTGTGCTTGAATAGGTGCGTTACCTGTACGTAACATCGTCATATCATGCATTTGTCATTTGCAAAATATAGGCTCACTGAGTTACGCAGATCTTCCAGTGTTAGCCTGTTTCACAGGACAGGATCAGCTGTCATATTTGCTGACATCGCCTTCAGCGCCTCAGAATGGGGTGCAGGGACACTGTCGAGATCACAGGCAGATGCGAGTTTTCCAAATTCTTGTATTAGCTTGAAAGCTCAAGTTTTATCAGTAACAAATATTGTCAGTTTCTTTCCCTTGAAGTGACAGGCTGGCTTCACTGCATTTTTGAGAAAATACCTGCCAAATACCAAGTTTCCACCTATAGGTTGTCTTAGTCTTTCAATTAAATGGTATTTATCCGTGAAGAAAGTGACGGCTTCAGCTCCCAGTGCAGCCTCAGGAGCTTTCCTTTGACCATTGTGCTTGGACTTGTGGTGTGTTAGTTACTGAAGTTGCACTGAAAAGGTCAACTCTTCATGTCTCCTTAGGTACAAAGCCACCTTTCATCAGTGTGACGTCTGTAAGAAAATTTTTAAAGGCAAATCAAGTCTTGAAATGCATTTTCGGACACATTCAGGTAAAACTTAATTATTCAAGAGTAAAATATGGGCATTTAAACGTTCTTGTTCTTGGTTAAATTGTTTGTTTTTTCCCCCCCATTAATACTTTCACTCATTATATTAAAGTTGAGGTCATCAGTGAGCAGTACTCTAATGTACAGGTGTCAGCACTTTGAATTCATTCTGTACAATTTGGGAAAACGTTTTTCATTGGGAATTTATTCAGCTCTTAGGTCTCATGTTCCTCTTTTTGCATGTTTAAGGTTCCTGTATATCTATGTAACTAAAGACATTTATTCCCTTCTCTCTGAAAGAGCAGTTTAAATACGGCCTCACTGGCTTGCTGCGTACAGCCAGTGTCTTACCAAGCGAGTGCGTTTCATTCTGTTCAAACAGGTGAAAAACCGTACAAGTGTCAGATCTGCAACCAGTCTTTCAGAATTAAGAAAACCTTGACCAAGCACCTGGTCATTCACTCTGACGCCCGGCCTTTCAACTGCCAGCACTGCAACGCAACGTTCAAGCGGAAAGACAAGCTCAAGTACCACACTGACCACGTGCACGGCATCAAGTCCCCCGATGACCCGCTGAGCGCCTCCGAGGAGAAGCTCGGCACCTTGCCCGTGGAGTACGCGCCGGATGACAAGATCTTCCAGGCGGAAACAAAACAATACATGGACCAGCCCAAAGTGTATCAGCCGGAAGCCAAGGCCATGTTGCAGAGCGTGTCTGCCGAAGTGTGTGTCCCCGTAACGCTGGTCCCCGTTCAGATGCCCGACACCCCAAACGAGCTAGGGCGCCACAGCACCCCCCTGCCTCCACCTTCGCATGACATCCTGTCACCACAGCCCCAGTCAACAGATTACCCACGAGCAGCCGACCTGGCTTTTCTGGAGAAATATACCCTGACTCCTCAGCCTGCAAATATAGTTCATCCCGTTCGACCGGAGCAGATGCTGGATCCCAGGGAACAGTCTTACCTTGGGACGTTACTGGGCCTCGATAACACCACTGCCGTGCAAAACATCTCCAACCCTGAGCATCACTCGTGATGAAGTCGAAACATTCCACAGGCTCTGCCTGCGGCCGTGTGCTGGTGGCCTCGCAACGGTGGCTTTCGCGTTAGTACGACTGTGGTTTTTCATTTCTCCACTTTCCCAAGTGCTCAGAACCATCTCAGATCAGGAAAACTAGTCTCTCTGTTTACTGAACATCTGAATGTCTGGATACATTTTGCAGTATAAGATTTGAAGTGAACATTTTTTGTGATTTTAAAAGATTATTTACTGTTAATTTTAGTGGTATCTCAAACTTTTCAAAATTAGCTGTTGACATTAGGGTGTTTTTGGAATTTTACTTGTCTTTAGCTTCATTCCTCTTTCCTCCCTTTCATCTTCCAAACAAGCGCGAGGACCACGTCACCTCTGAGGGAGACTTTATGGGAGTTTACTTGCGATTAGAACTGTTCCTTACCCTAAGATTCACTATTTCCTCCAGATTCTTAAAAACCGATATTAGGGATTTGACTTTAAAAGGAAGCCTTGGATACTTTTGTGTTGTTTCTTAGTCTGGCCACAATTTCAGGTGATCATTTTCCTTTGGTCTTTCGGTAAACTCAGAGCCAGAAAGCTAACTAGTGTCAGAGTAGTTTGTTCAGTGAAATGTTGAATTGAAATAATTGTCCATATTACTGGTTTTTAACCTATGCTTCAATTATTATGAGCAAGAAAGGCAAATATAGATCTAGGCATTAAATTATACAATTGATGATGTGTTGAAAGCAAAATAGGACAGTATCGCTCAAGGCAAGTTCACCCTTCGTATTTGCTGTTTATTTCCCATTAACACTATATCACAGCATATATCTTCATCTCACTAATTAATGGAAGTTAGTTAACAGGTTAATTTTGGTCTTGTTGACCTTGGCTAACTGAAACTCTAGGAAACAGAACCGAGATATTCCCTACATAATTGTTAGAAAAGGTGCCAAATTACACACTTTGTGTCTAACTAAACTCAGTGTTCTTTACCTTAATTAAAGGGAGCCACAGTGTGTGTACAACTAATCCAGATTTATTTTTGCTTTTCACATAAGCCTAAAGCCTAATTAGCCTTGATTTTTATTTTTGTATGAGACAGAAGTGGAGCACTTGGTGAAAGGAAATGGCAGTTACAGCAAAATCTCACTGGTTAAAAGTAATGGAGAGAAAAATCAGTGAAATGCTAGGTAATTATAAAATACCTTTAGAGATGTGCACTTTCCATATATCTTCAAGTCAGTTTGAGCTTCGACTAGGATCCTGTTTCCTAGTAGCACTGCTTGGGGGCTAGAGTAGGCAGGGTGGAATCTCCTTAGCATGTCGTTTGTATGTAAACTACTGGAAAATAGCAATTTTAAGAGTTTTCTATTTCCGTTTTGTTTACACTCCTAATTGCTTTAAGCACTTTTTTTGTGTAAACTGTAATGTCTGGCCCAGCCCTTGTGAAAAAAAAAAATCACAAATAAAATGAAGTTTTAATGAATAAAATTTAGCCACTTACTGGGGAAGCATGTTTGCTGAAGCACTTAAGGAAAGAAGGTTCTTACAGGAATGCTCGCCATGCTGGTGGAGATAGAAGAAAAGGGTTCAGAACGGAGGCACTTACCCTGAGTAGCTCTTGTAAATAGTCAAAGCAACCTCAGTTTTGCCTCTTTACTAAGGTTCGGTTATACATACCCTAGGACCAGTAGATGTACTTACTGTATTAATGCTTCTTTTTTAAACATTCTTTTGTGTGGACATGTTACTCTATCTGGGTACTTCCGTGACTGAACTTGGCTGAATGAGGCACTGCTAGTCTGCTAGTCTTTCAAATTGACTTTTAAAAATATCCTTATGATTTTTATCCAAAGGACAAGACTTGTAACTAACAAACTTACTACTATGTAAGGAAATCGTACCTAACAATGTAGTGCCTCGCGTGTGAGCAGCGTAGGAGACTTTGGGCTTGCAGAGAGGCAGGTGGCATATGCGCGTGTGTGTGGCGGATTCTAAGTTTGGAAGCAGAAGAAAAGGGGGTTGCATTTTCACATTGAAAAGAGTACTTTGTTTTTGTTTTTGAAGGTACTGACTTTAGGGTTCTTTTAATAATAATGTCCTAAATGCTTTAAGTATATGATTCGATTGTAGGAACTGGTTTACAGTAGACAGCCTTTCTGGAATGCATCTCTTCTGTAAAGTGAAATATAAATCTATTTAGTTACTGTAGGTAACTTAAACTTGAATAGTGGTTTATAAAAGGCTTTCCTAGCTATCTCATTTAAACCTCACAACCAGCTCTGAGAGAGTGGAAGTGCTGGGTTCCCACTTTAGAGAGGAAGAGACCAAGATGAAGGACTCAGTTAAGCTCACACCATTAATAAGAGGCAGGTACCAGTTTCCAGGGAAAGAGATGGAGCATCAGTAGTGCTGCCCAGGTGCCAGGCGCCACATCGTCTCATGTCATCTTCAGCAGGCTGGGAGGTGCGAGGATACTTCTCATGAAGAGATGTCTCAGCAGGAACACAAACAAAAATCTGCCGCCTCTAATTTCCAAATTAGATAAGAAACATTAAATTGTGAAAACCTCATGGATTTGGGCAAACTGAATGTATACAAGTTTTTGAAGTTGGCACAAAAAATATGAAATGAGGCCTACTCTTTCCAGTTAACCTTTTGTTACCATTCTGGAGTTTTTTGGAAAAATGTTGGATTAACTCTAAAATTACTTCTGTACCTGTACTTAACTTTTGAATCTTACAACTAAGTTTAGCCTCATTGAGAATTTTTTATTTTATGAGCATAATTTATTGTTTTAAATTAATGTTTTAGCTGATAGCAGTTAGCACTTAATATGTAAGTTGAATAATTTATTAAGTGTAGAAATTTGTTAACCTAATCTGTTTTTACTTAAATGCACCAAAGATTTTAGTAGGTATTCAAATAGTTCAAAAGAATTTAAATTCTTTGTTGTTTGAATAAATATTTGTCCAAAGAAGCACAGTTGAAGTCCTAGGCTTATGGATTTAAAAAAATTGTTAGTTTGAATACTAAGATTAAGTGTTTGTGTTTATATGTATAAAAATAAGAACAGAAGAAAGTACTCTGGGAGTAGTCATACTGACGAATCACAAGTAAGGATGCTCAGTTTTCCTCAGTTTAATTAACGGAACGTTATCTTTTAAGTGGACACTATTAAGTACAAAATACTAAGCCTATTTTTTACACTACACGATTAAAATCATTTGCCTTAGTATTTTTTTTTTTAAGACAAGTTGAAGTTATTTTTGTATGAAACACCCCACCTATGTTTTGCAGCCTTAAATACTGTTTAAGGTTAGGGTTTGTTGCTCATCCAGCAAGATTTAACCAATTCCGAAGGTAGTGATCTCTGCATCCTTTCAAGTAATTTAGTCATTTATTGTCAGGAGCAGAGGAGTAGCAAAAATAGGGTTTAAACTGGTGCTTTAATAAGTGACTCCTTTTCAGTGATGTTAGGTCATGAAATAGGTACACTAATAATTTTCCACCAACCTTTAAAGGGTCAACACATCTTAGCGGAGTGACTGACTGTAAACTGTTAGTTAAGGGCTGATAAGTTATTAAATATCATGCATTGTTTTTCATTCTATAACTGCAAACAAATTAAAAACACAGATAAACTGGTACGTTTCTGAGTCTGAGTTTTCTTCCTTCTGGGTCATTCTGCCATACCCTTGGCAACAAGTCAGATTGGGAGCACTGGCTCTTTGACTGTCTTTCTGGATCGAATGCTCTGTGCCTTTTCACTGTGTTGTAGTTGCTTTGAGCTGATTTGCTGACTAGATTGTGCTGGGTAATAAACGATTCTGATCTTGTTGTTATGGGTCTTATGTTTGTGTTGCCTGCCGGTCAGGCAGCACTTTAAAAATTTTTTTTTTAGGTTGCTTTATGTTTATATAGGGAAATAGGCACTAAGTACTTGTGTGACTATTTGTTTTTTGTTTTCGATGTCTGTCTTGGCCTTTCTAGGCACTGTAACGCCACTCTCGGGCCTGTCTCTAGACGCTTCCTATAGGAGTCTGACAAATAAAGTAAAATGAGTTGTGTGTCTGCCTCTGTGTGTCGTCCTCACCTCGGCTTTTTGACAACAGTCGGTTACCGTGACCGCACAGCTCTACTCTGAATGGCTTCCGATATCAGGAGGTCAGCATCCCACCAACGTAAAGCTTGAGTTTATCAACTCAGGAAAAGTGAGGACTTTTAAAGTTGTGTTTGGATTACTTGAAGATTCAGTGCCAAATTTAAAATGATGGGAGTGTGTGAGAAACAAGCAGCATCCCTAAAACTTTCAACAGGATGATGGTGAATGTTACTTGCTATTCGAGTGAGTGGTGGGTAGTGTGCAAATAATTTTCTAACCCGTTCTTAGGAACTATAGACAATTCTTCCTTAGATCTCCACTTGCTTTTGTACATTCATCTCTCAGTCTAGTCTGCAGTGGTTTTTAGGGTGATCGCCCTCTTATTTCCTCCAAAATTATATCTACTTAATGATCCTTTTACCCTGGAATATTAGCATGCTTTCTGCACTTCCTCCCTGGAAGTAGCACTGATAACAAAATTAATAGGAGAGAATTTGGTAGAACGCCTACATTTTGTTTACTCCTCATGTATGGACTTGCTGTGTATTGATGGATCTTAAGTCTGTGACTATTGGAAAATCCTTGAAGGATTTTAATTTAGCCTCTGCAGCCATTATACCAACAGGAATTAAGATTATATTCACAGGCTAGAGGTTATACCAAGACGGACATACCTCTTTTTTTTCAAGTTCTTAGGTAAAGAAGTGTTTTCGGCGCTTGCGTTACTGTTGGAAATTCTCAAGCACTTGAATGAAGAGCATGTACACTTCTCACGGTTCTCTCGCCTGTTGCTTGGTATCCCTGCTTGCGTTAGTGTTGGACAGCATACTGGTGTAATTTACAGGACTTCTATTCTTCCCACAGTCGGACTTTTTTATGCCTATAGATAAAACTATTACAGTTGATCAGTTTTGCTGCCAAAAAATGAATCCAGAGGTGGCCGTTGAGCTGCTCCACACGTAAATGTTTTGATTAATGGGACTTAACGATGTACGTTAAAGTGAAAATGCTTTGAACCTAGTTTTCAGCCTAAAATCCTAAGTTTTACTTTGAATCATTAAGGACACGTTTCAAAGCAGTTACAGGGAAGAATCTAAAATAATCAAAATCCGTTATTTTGTCAACTGTGTATAATGTTAATCTTGTGAGTTTTCTAGATACTTCAGCTGTCTGTGTTTCTTAAGTACATATGTCTCTATAGAAAAATTCGGTCCTCTGTGTAGACTAGGAAGTGCATTGTATACTGAACTAGTTCTCTGTGTTATTTTGATATTTAAAATAAATGTAAAAGTCCTTTGGCCCTCCTAAAGCTTTATCCAGGTCTTATTGCAGTTTCTCAGCGTGGGCATGCAGTGCTCTGCAAAGACGGCGAACGGATGGAAAACCAAGCATTCTGGGGCCCACTTATATGCATGTCATTTCTCTCAAGTTAGATATTATTTTGCGATATTTAACGTATTAAATGTATTCACCATTACATGATTTAGTGGTTTTCAAGAGGCTTCTCAGCCTAAGTTTAAGTACTAACAGCGACTAGTCAACAAAGTGAACCACAGTGGCCGGCTGCAGCTGACCGTTCAGAGGCTGAAGCTCACCAGGGCCTCTATCTGCAGTGCTCACCCCGAGTCACAGTCACAGGGTGAAAGAACAGGCACTGTCCTTGAAAACAATTCATACTAACTTACTTTGCTTAAAAAAACAACTATGTAGTAGTGTCCTCACTGTGCATCAATCTTAACGGACTCAACAAACAAAACACCCCTGTAACGATTTTGTTTCAATATTGTCAAGGCAGCAGGGCTGCGCCGCGGGCCCCAGCGGGTGTCGGCGGATCTGACGCCCCCGCGCTCCTCGTCCCCCCACGCAGGGCTTCCCGACCCGCGGGCCCACGC